CCTGATGGAGAACTAGTTTTTGAGAACAGATGTGACATAAAATCATGCAAATTAAAACATCCTTCATAGATTCAGAAGTCAAAATGTAGTATGAGGCATGGAAACCAAATAATTGGACAAATTGTGTGGCAGGGTGAAAGACAGAATGTAACTTTCAGCTGCCAGTTCCATTTCGTAACATCACACATACTGCAGACCACCACATAAAACTATGAGGATGGTTAACGACAGCAGGCTGCAGGGTGAAACGGAGTCAGAAGGATTTTTAGGCACAGAAGACTTGACCTAAGTCTTATCTTCACCCTTTAACTTATCCATGAGATTCCAGTAAATGTTTTAATTTCTCTAAGCATTATTTTTCCTCATCAATAAAAAAAACTGGACAACAATAACACACGCCTTATGCACTTCAAAGGGCTAAAGATGGAATCTAATGGAATGACATTATATGAGAGTGCTTTGTAGAATGTAAAAGCACTACAAAAATACTGTATATGATTTCTGGTGAATCATAAATCACTTTATATGAATTTTGGTGACTTTTTAAATGCAGAATACAGATTTTTTTGTTTTACATAATGGTGCACATTAGTTTGGAATATTTCACAGTAGAAGAAATAAAATGATTGCTCCAAAGAATAATCATGATTAGTTAGTTCTAAGTTTGTTGCTCTTCTTATATGTAATTATTAAATGAGTAATGAAAAGTGCTGCTACACATACTTTGCTCTCATGTAATTTAAAATAGAACAGAATAGCTATGCACTTTAACTAATGGTATTATATATTTACATAATCATGTTTACTATTAATATTCTTATTTCCACTTATGGAATCTGTTTTCGATTTTTCAGCATGGTGTTAAATAGGGAAATGCAGCACTTACTTGTCTTTGGCAAAAAATAAAAACTAAATTGCTTAACTTTCTGGCTAGGTAGATAAAAAATTTTGTTAGTATTTTCACACTTTTTATAGTTCTCTTCAAAGTCTCAAACCATGCAGAAAAAAAAGATGGCTATAATATTTTAGACCACTATGAACCAGATACCTTTTCAAGCTACTAGAGCTGCTTCTTGGTTAAAATACTCGTCCACACTTGACAACAACTGGAGGAAGGGAGCACCCAAAACAGCACGTATCATGGGGCCCACAGGTGACATGACTGAGCCATGGCAGCTTGGGCGGCACATTTCCCAGAGTGTTTTCACCCTGCAGATGCTTGCAGTTCATCATAGCTACACATTCTGACAGTGTGCAAGAAACTAGATTTCCTAAGTTTCAGGAGCCTTTCTCAGTACTTAAGAGACAGCCTACACTAACAATATCTTATTATCCACTAAATCACTTTAATAATGACTTCCAAAGGCAATTCCTCAAGTATTCTTTCACATCACTAACTTTTCAACATTTATTTCATTAACCTGGACCTCAGAAGGCTTTGTTTTATAGCCTAAAATGTTATTCGTGGGAATACTATAAAGCAGCCAGGCTTAGAGTTCTCTTTTAAGGAAAAGTACAGAATATATATTTATACAGTATGTACACTATCATAAATAAGCATGTTTCATTTTGCGGAACTCAAATTACATAGGTATCTCAAAAAAACCTTTGAACACTTAATTAATTCTTTCTTTAATTTTTATGTTTATGGAGGGAGGCAATTAAGTTAATTTATTTATTTAATTATTTACTTCTAACAGAGATACTGGGAATGGAACACAGGATCTAATGAATCTTAAATTATGCTACTCTCCCTTCATATCTAGGGTTCTAATGGGTATGAGGTATGGCTCTTCTTATACTATTTAACATACTCAGTCCCCTCCCTCAAAAAAAAGGAAAAAGTTCTGTCTAGTCCTTCGGTCATCATCTCAAATTCACAGTTACTCCTGTTTCCTACCCTATATCCCTCAACTAGACCTGCTCTAAATCCCACAGCATTTCATGCTTTGAAAAATTATTATCTCCTTTCCATGACTGCGAAACATGCAAGAAAAGGGTAGGATTTATTTCTCTTAGATACTGTCAGGAAAGCAATTTGATTAAATGAATCCATTAAAGTATTAAGAATCTTAATTTTCCTTGAGATATTGGCATATGTAAAAAAAAAAGCAAACAATGAAGAAGCAGTTAAGAAAATAAAAACTTCAGGGAATATTCAGGGAAGTTCTTTTTGTACCAGGCAACTGCCAAGAATCAGGTTAATACTTTCAAGGAGTGTCCAACCTTCCTAACTCTCACTGAGAAGACTCTTGTAAAGAATTTCTACAGTATGCAGCTCTTCTTCCCCACCTCCCCAACTCCGATTTCAGAGATACAATGCAACATTTTACTTAAAAGCCAAACAAACTTCAGTTGTATCAACAAAAAGTACTTCAACAGAGAGAGCAGAAGGACAGGGGATGTATCTGCTAATACCAAACTGAATCACTATGCTGTACACCAGAAACTAACACAACATTGTAAATCAACTATACTTCAATTTAAAAAAAAAAAGGATAAAAGATGAAGTGAATAGAAAAAGGCAAAGAAAGGCAGAGAGGAGATAGGCAAAGAAACACTGGGAAAGTAAGGAAATAAAGGTGGAGTGAAGAATAGAAGAAGAGGCAAGGCAGGGCAATCATACACCATGAAAGACTCAGTGTGCCTCATTCTCCAAAAAAGAACAGGTTAATCTGCGTGTTAGCTCCCCCAGGGAAGTTTGGAATGAAATGTTGCCTGTAGAGTATCACTATTACGTAGTTTATTGAAGAGGACCTGGAGACATGTCTCCACAAGAACTGGGACCAGGGAGAATTTCACTCGAACAGACAAGAATGATTTTACAGGTCAGTCTTAACCAGTTGACAAATACTGCAGGACAGTGAAATTCCCTCCTTTTACGTGGCAACTTCCACAGAATGTAAAATCATCAAATGACATCTGATTTGATATGCACAATTTTAGGCTCACAAATATGTTTAATTTTCCTTTTTAGATTTGGAGGACACATTTTCTCTTTATTTTTGTTAGTTTTTCTATCACTGTTGCTGATTTTAGGGGCCAAACTATTTTTTCTTCCCTTTAATTTAATTATCCAATTTGAGGGAAGAAAACAAGGATATTTTTGAAATCTCTTTTGTAATGTTTTGTGGAAAAGTAGTCAAGTATACTAAAAAAAATCTGGATATAACTGAAATATCACAAGACATACTGAAAAATATGAAACAAAAATTCCAATTCTAATTCAGCAAATACACTACTGACTCCAAAATCATCAATTGAACAAAAGAAATTATATTTGCATTGACGTGAATCTGCATCCATTCTTGATAGTCTGTAATATATGCAACTGCTCAGCTCTAGCTGTCCTTGTAGCCACATTACCATATTATTCAAATGTATCTATCATTTATATGTAAATAGACAAGATGAATGGCTTCTTCATAAGACAACAATTTTCAAGTGACAAACAGACATAGGCAGACATTAGCAAGATAAAAATGTTGGAAATATTCATTCTATTATATATTCTTAAGAAAAACTGGCCATTCTTTTAAATTGTTAAAAAAGTACTGTGGTAATTACAAAATGGGGTCTTAATACATTCACTATACCAACAGCTATTCTTCTCAATAAAAGTCTTCACCAATGTCATTTGTGTCTTGTAAATTACATGCTCTTAGATCCATCTGTGAAAATTGGGATGTTAATTATTATGGTTACATTTCATGATTCCACAGTTAAATGCTGAAGTGGTGCTACACAAATACCATATGTTTTTCTAAGAGAAATGGAGAAAGATTAATTATGAGTTCAAGTCCAAGTCTCAACACAATAAGATCATTACATTGTGTGCTATGCAAATTGGAAGTTTTAATTAATAGCTGAAACAATGAATGAGGGGGAAAACTATGAAGCCTAAATTGTAAGTATCAGGCTTTTCTACACACACACACACACACACAATCCTAATAAGAATGCCTCTGAGAAACCAAGTTATAAATCCAATGAGAGAATAAAAAACATTTATTATCAAAGGAAATCTATGAACTTCTTTGATGGAGTGATCACTGACATGCTGTCAAATCTTACTTGGTAAACCCAAAAATTAGAGTGTATACTAGCAACAAACAGGTTATAAACAGATAATATATCTGATGAAAATTCAACTTAATGTTTTTTCTGGATTTTTCTTTAAGATATACACCATTCAAAGTTATGCAAAATTACAAGTCTTCTGTACTCAAATAAAATACTCACTTCAGTATAACTACCTAAAGACAGAACTCTATGATAACACTGTAAGAATTTCATTCATATTTACAGAATCTGAATTCTCATTTTACTTACCACATATTCAAACACAAGTGTTAGCGTCTCCTTGGTGTGGATGATGTCATGAAGCAGCACTATGTTAGCATGTTTTAGTCCTTTTAATAGAGAAGCTGTAAAATAAAGTGGACAAAGAGACAATTTATCATGGGTAACAGCCACCTGATATGTTTCATTATCATTTTGGTACACTGTCAGATAAAATATATCTATTTTCCCATTTTCTAAGCCAATAACAATTCAAGAGCACAGGAATAAGATTTTCATTTAGATTAAGTTACCTCTAATTATTTCATCTGTTATTTGTTATTAATCTTTAGTTACATTCCATTATGGTCAGAGAATATCCTTGATATGATTTCAATTGTTTAAATTTGTCAGGGTTTATTTCGTTACCCAGGGTGTGATTTATCTTGGTATATTTGCCATATGTATGGAATATATATTCTGCTTATGTTGGTTGGAGAGTTTGATAAATTTTAATCAAACTTCATTGATTGATGGTGTCACTGAATTCTTCTATAAACTTGCTGATTTTCTGAGCAGTGGTTCCATCAATGACTAAGAGTGGGTGTTGATATTCCCAACTATAACTGGGGATTTTTCAATTTCTTATTTGAATTCTGCCAGTTTTTGCTTTGTGTATTTTGAAGTTCTGTAGTTTAGCGTATATACATTTAGGATTGCTATCCTTTCTTTGTGAATTGGCCCCTTTACCATTTATAATGTCTCTCTTTAACCATGGTAATTTTCTGTAATCTGAACTGTTCTGTCTGATATTAATATAGCCACTTCAGCTTGCTTTTGATATGAGTTTATATGGTATATCTTTTATATATTTTTTCTTTTAGACTACCAATATCATTATATTTGAAGCGAGTTTCTTATAGACAGCATATCATTGGGTCATGTGGTTTTTTTTAATCCATTCTGTCAACCTCTGACTTTTAACTGATATTTAGACCATTTATATTTAATGTAAATATTAATACATTAGGTCACCTATTATTTGAATCCATTTTTCCCTTAGGCACCTTGTAATTTAGTCTTCATTTCTGATTTGATTTTTCCTTTTCTTCTGTACTGCCCAGGAGTTTAATTAACTCTCTTTTCATTTCATTTTGGTGTTTGTCCGTTTCTCCTCTTTTGTGTTCCCAACTCCAGGTGTTTTTGTTTGTCTGTTTGTTTCATATACCCAAGAGTCTGAGTGAAAAACTTTTAATTTAGATTAAAGCGTTGTGTATAGTTTTAATTTTGGAATTGATTTTTTGAAAAGGAATTTTTATCAGCTGAAATGCAGTGATCCGTACTTTCAGTTTTATAGATGGTGGCTACTTTGTTCTATTCCTATTCATTCAATAAACTGGGTTTCTTGAGAGCCCTCTCTTCCATCAGTTCTTCTCTTTCCTTTACAGTTTTTGTGGATGGTGCTTGTGGAAGAAAGGGAAAGGGTTTAGGGTGTCTAGCTTATTTTTCATTTCTAAAAGATGCTTTATTTTTTCCTTTTCTTTCTTTCTTTCTTTCCTTTCATTGTCATGTCTTCAAAGTGTACCTCCTTTCCCTATAGGTCTGACTTATTCCCAGAAGCAATGTTACCCAACAGCTGCCAGTTCCAGTCCCACTCACTTTTGATTTCCTTTCTTGTAGTCAAGTGCTGTGAACTACATGGAGTCCCAGGTTTCTCCTTCTGTTACGATTTTGTCCGTGCTCCATCTAATTCGTCCATGCCCCTGTACTCTTTTTCATAGTCTCTAAAACCTCTTAAGCTTCCCTTGCATCACTTTCTGCAATCACAAGCTTGTTGCTGTCTCCTAATGCTCTTGAAGGTGTGAATCATGTATGTTTTCATTTGCTCTCTCTGTTGGATTTATTAATTTGGCAGGAGCATGAGTGGGAAGAGGCCATCATTCATTGTCCTCCAAACCCTCCATCCTAGATCAAGGTCTGATACATAGTAGCAACTCAATAAATTTACTGAATGTCATTCATTTAGGTTCTCCATTAGCTATATATGTCAGGGGTCCATCTATTTCTTGAATGAGAAAAGGGCCTGTTGTCATCTAGAAGTTCTTCTTAAGTTTGATCTACTCTTCCTTTTACTATGAGACCAGTACTAGCCCCAGACCTCAGTCTGGTAACAGATGACACTCATTTTCAACACAAGGCCCAAGGCCCCTCCAAAACCCAGAGAAGACCAGCTAATAATGTTGCCAATTTCAAGATGTGGGCAAGGCGCCACTGCTTCTGCCTCTCAAATTCCATTCTTTCCCTTTCCTTTGGATTAAAAAAAAAGGAAAGCAACAACCCCCACCCAATCAGACGCACTGTAACACAGCTTATCTCAAAAAAAAAAATTAAACTAGTTAAGATTTCAGCTTTATAATTAATACCACAAAGAACATAACCAGGCCCCTTTCAAAAAATATTTCTGTAGAATTTTCTCCCTATAATGAATTGTGGAAAATAGAATGTCAGGGTAAAAAGACATGAACATAATTACAAGACAGTATTTATTAATTAAATAATAAGTGGATTTAGATCTTTCTAACTTCATGTAAGAATAAAAGAACCATAAAAGATGGATAAAATATATAGCAAAATAATGTAGCAAGAAAGTAATCCATTTTATCAAATAATCAAAACCTTTATTAAATAAATTTGAGCATTTTATACAAGAACATGTGTTAATTAAAGGATAAACTCTTCTTTTTCAATAAGATCAGAAATAAATAGAATTATTTTCCCCTACACCAATGACCATTCAGGCAGAATACTCAAAGAACAGAAGCTTCTTCTATCATTGTTAATTACTTAAATAACACTATGTCTTCAATTTGGGGTTTTGGTATACAACCTGAAGAGAAAAAAGAAACGGTTTGCATGTGTTCTTTCAGGAACTTGTAATTGTTCATTTATTCATCAAATATTTATTGAGAAATTAGTTACTGGTGGCCTGGACCAAACCTGAACCCTTGATACTCAATAATATTGCAAGATTACCTCTTTAAAAAGAGATTTATAACAACAAGCATGAACCCTCTGCCTTGGATTTTTTTTTTTTAACTTTTTCTCCATTACCACCTTTCTTCTCTCACCATTTAGATCTAACTGGTTTCTCATTTCTCAAAGTAACGTCTTCACGCCCATCATTTTCCACTGGGTTTTTCTACAATTTCAAGTCTCTGCTGCTATTTATCCTGGGGAAAAAATACTGTTTCCTGACGGTGATCAATATTATAGAAAAGAGTCATGTCATTTTTTATGTGATATTTTTGACCATTTCTACATGAAGACTCAAAACCTCCAAATTTCATTCTCTGAATTATTACACATTTTAGATTTCTAATATATCTTACTACACATTTCAAAACACACTACTAGTTAAATAACTACCAATATCTGTATCTGATAGCAAGCCCTTTTTCTTTTGAGATTAACATAATGAATTCGTATTCAGAAAAGGCTGAGCTACTAATTTCAAAGCTGATGGCAGAAAAATGGCACTGAAGGGCAGAAAACCCTCCACGATCTCTACCAGCATCAGGCTAAGTGACAGACCTGACTAACCTGGAGGCTGCCAACGCAGCAGCCTCTCCTCCGAGCACGGTGCCAGGTACTGTCATTCCTGCTGTTACCAAAGCAAGGGAGTCTCCTGGGCTGCCAAGTCAGTCCAGTGATTAACACCTACAGGTCCCAGAGTCAATGTGTGTCCGTTTTCAAGACAAACACTGTCAAAATAATACCCCATGTAATCCTAATAATATCTCAAATATACCACATGTTATTTTCTTATCGTTTATATACAAAACAAGTCCTGTAACACGAGTGTTAGTAATTCCAGCATGCTTGGTTTCCCCACAAGCTTTAAGCAAACATATGGCAAACATTTAAAATTCATTTTACCAGTGAGGCTTGAAAAGGTACAATTGTACATGACGTAAAAGACTTGTAATTAAGGCTGAGGGCAAAATTCTAACAACAGTTTTGGGGCTGTGATGTCGAAACAAGACAAAAACAGACAAACACTGTTGCTCATCAAGATAACTGCCTCTGACAAAGTCCCAGTAGGACAGGAAGACACAGGGGTCCTCCTTTTGCTTGGCAGCAGGATTCAGATACCCACTCTTCAGCCATATCGAAAACTTGACCTCCCACTTTCAGAATAAACAGCCTAGGTTTCCACTCAGAGTTGGAAGAGATAAATTTCACCCAGAATGCCAATCTCATCATGATTAAAATAAATTTTGAGGTATAGAAAAATTCAGAGTATGTTCACTTATCACATTCTCACTGCAGTGGTTATTTTAAAAAGCAATGTTAATAAGGAAAAGATGAACAAAACCCTCCGTTACTATTTCAACTAGTCTTCTAGGTCATTATTTGATATCCCATTGGTAGGAAAGGAGCGATCACAAGTAAACACAACCCATCCTTTCCTTAGTCTCTGGAAAGAATTAGTACATTCACATTTTCCTCTCATCTTTTTTATGTGTTCTTTTTCAGTGGAGTGGACTGAAGGGTCTATCTGACTTTTGTAGAAGACAAAGATTATTACCTATTAAATTCAAGGAGCCAACCATATTTCAAGCTACAACCATGTGAGACATAAACTTTTTTCTTCAAGCCCACAGCTTGACAGCTCTCTGGGCGCTGAAATTCACTTTATACTAGAAACAGTATACTTTCTGTCTTTCCTTACTTTCAATGAGAAGTTCTCTCTCACTTACTTATCAGTGGATTCTGGATATTTTCATAGTAAAAATTTCCTGAATGGAAAAAACTTGAGGGCAAACAACAAACAAAAAATACACAAAGAGAAAAGACAAGAGTGCTTGTTTAACTGTGTCTGTGCTGAGTAGGTGATCTAGACAGAGAAAGGAACTCGTGTACACCCCGAAAACTTATGTGCAGCTCCACGTTAAGGTGTACATGATTCTGGAAGGCACGTTGCTTACTGCAGCTACATGTGAGGAGAAAGATACAGTTCTACTCCATTCTGGACCTCCCTCTTAATGAGATCTAATCTGGTAAGAAATGCACAAGTGCGTGTGCACTCGCGCACACACACACACACACACACACACACACACACTTCTAAGTGAAAAGGTGAGAG